TACTACAAGTACAAAAGTACTACAAGTACTACAAGTACTACTACAAGTACTACTACAAGTACTACTACAAGTACTACTACAAGTACAAAAGTACTACAAGTACTACTACAAGTACTACTACAAGTACAAAAGTACACAAGTACTACAAGTACTGCAGTACTACAAGTACTACTACAAGTACTACTACAAGTACTACTACAAGTACAAAAGTTCTACTACAAGTACTACTACAAGTACTACAAGTACTAAAGTACTACTACAAGTACTACTACAAGTACAAAAGTACACAAGTACTACAAGTACTGCAGTACTACAAGTACTACTACAAGTACTACTACAAGTACAAAAGTTCTACTACAAGTACTACTACAAGTACTACAAGTACAAAAGTACTACTACAAGTACTACTACAAGTACTACAAGTACAAAAGTACTACAAGTACTACAAGAACACAAGTACTACAGTAGTACTACAGTGCAGTACTACCACAATAGTACTACAGTAGTACTAGTGTGGTAGTACTGTAGTACTGCTGTAGTAGTATTGCAGTAGTATGTAGTACTGTAGTACTGTAGTACTGTAGTACTGCTGTAGTGTAGTACTGTAGTACATGTAGTATTGTGGTACTGTAGTACAGTAGTAGTGTAATACTGCAGTAGTGTAGTACTGTAGTACTGCTGTAGTGTAGTACTGTAGTACATGTAGTATTGTAGTACTGTAGTACAGTAGTAGTGTAATACTGCAGTAGTGTAGTACTGTAGTACAGTAGTAGTGTAGTACTCTTGTACTGTAGTACTTGTAGTTAGTTTGTTCTTGAGGTTCTGACCTTTGGATCCTCCAGACGCTGAAGATATTTCTCAAAAGATCCTTCCACAAACTGAAACACAAGAACCAGAACTAGACCAGGACTAGACCAGGACTAGACCAGGACTAGACCAGGACTAGACCAGGACTAGTCAGGTCTAGTCCAGGTCTAGTCCAGGTCTAGTCCAGGTCTAGTCCAGGTCTAGTCCAGGTTGTTACCGGTTCAAAGTTGGAGCGGTTGGTTCTCATGTGGTTGGCACAGTCCTGACGAATCTTCTGGTGATAATTCTGAGAATAAAAGAGCTGAGGACAAAAGAGACAAGAGAGACAAAAGAGACACGAGGGACACACGAGAGACACACGAGAGACACACGAGAGACACACAGAGAGACACACAGAGAGACACACAGAGAGACACACGAGGGACACAGAGACACACGAACGAGAGACACACAGAGAGACACACAGAGGACACACAGAGGGACACACAGAGGGACACACGAGAGACACACAGAGGGACCACAGAGACACACAGAGAGACGAGAGACACAGAGAGACACACAGAGAGACCACACAGAGACACACAGGGAGACACACAGAGAGACACACGAGGACACACAGAGAGACACACGAGACACACAGAGACACACAGAGAGACACACGAGAGACACACAGAGAGACACACAGAGAGACACACGAGAGACACACAGAGAGACACACAGAGGGACACACAGAGAGACACACGAGAGACACACACACGAGAGACACACGAGAGACACACAGAGAGACACACAGAGAGACACACAGAGAGAGACAACACGACACAGAGAACACACGAGAGACACACAGAGAGACACACACACAGAGAGACACACAGAGAGACACACGGAGGGACACACGAGAGACACACGAGGGACACACAGAGAGACACACAGAGAGACACACAGAGAGACACACGAGAGACACACAGAGGGACACACAGAGAGAGACACACAGAGAGACACACAGAGAGACACACGAGAGACACACGAGAGGGACACACGAGAGACACACGAGAGACACACACACGAGAGACACACAGAGAGACACACGAGAGACACACGAGAGACACACGAGGGACACACACACAAGAGACACACAGAGAGACACAGAGAGACACAGAGAGACACAGAGACACACAGAGAGAACACACAGAGAGACACACAGAGAGACACACAGAGAGACACACGAGGGACACACGAGAGACACACGAGAGACACACGAGAGACACACAGAGAGACACAGAGAGACACACAGAGAGACACACGAGAGACACACGAGAGACACACACAGAGAGACAAGAGGACCACAGAGGGACACACGAGAGACACACGAGAGACACAGAGAGACAACAGAGACACGAGAGACACGAGAGACACACGAGAGACACAGACACACAGAGAGACACACGAGAGACACACGAGAGACACACAGAGAGACACACGAGAGACACACAGAGAGACACACGAGAGACACACAGAGAGACACACAGAGAGACACACGAGAGACACACGAGAGACACACGAGAGACACACAGAGAGACACACAGAGAGACACACAGAGAGACACACGAGGGACACACGAGAGACCACACAGAGACACACAGAGAGACACAGAGACACAGAGGGACACACAGAGAGACACACAGAGAGAGACACACGAGAGACACACGAGAGACACACGAGAGACACACAGAGAGACACACAGAGAGAACATGAGAGACACACGAGAGACACACGAGAGACACACAGAGAGAACACACAGAGAGGACACACAGAGAGACGAGGGACACACAGAGAGACACACAGAGACACACAGAGACACACAGAGAGACACACGAGACACAGAGGGACACACGAGAGACACACAGAGAGACACACAGAGAACACAGAGAGACACACGAGAGACACAAGAGACACCAGAGGGACACACACACACAGAGAGAGAGACACGAGAGGAGACACAGAGAGACACACGAGAGACACACACGAGAGACACACCACAGAGAGACACACACACAGACACACGAGAGACACACACAGGAGAACACAGAGAGACCACACGAGGTACACAAGAGAGACACACGAGGGACAGAGAGACACACGAGAGAGGGACACACGAGAGACACACAGAGAGACACACAGAGACACACGAGACACACGAGGACACACGAGAGACACACAGAGAGACACACAGAGACACACGAGAGACACACGAGAGACACACACACGAGAGACACACAGAGAGACACACGAGAGACACACGAGAACACACGAGAGACACACAGAGGACCACACACAGACACACAGAGACACACAGAGGACACACGAGAGACACACGAGGGACACACACAGAGACACACAGAGAGACAATAGACACACGAGAGACACACAGAGAGACACACAGACACCGAGAGACACACGAGAGACACACAGAGACACAGAGGGACACACAGAGGGACACACGAGAGACACACAGAGAGACACACAGAGACACACCACAGGGACACACATGAGACACAGAGACGAGAGACACAGAGAGACACACAGAGAGACACACAGAGGACACACAGAGGACAGACACAGAGGACAGAGGACACACGAGGGACACACAGAGGGACACACGAGGGACACACAGAGGGACACACGAGGACACACAGAGGACACACGAGGGACACACGAGAACACAGAGGACACACGAGGGACACACAGAGGGACACACACAGCACGAGAGACACACAGAGGGACACACGAGGGACACACAGAGGGACACACACAGGGACACACGAGGGACACACGAGGGACACACGAGGGACACAGGCGTCTGTTGAGTTTCATGCAGGAGGAACATCGACAAACACCTGTCCAAAAAGAGACTGACTATTTGAAGCTGTCCTCCCCCTATGTCCTCTCCCTCTGTCCTCTCCCTCTGTCCTCTGTCCTCCCCCTCTGTCCTCCCCCTCTGTCCTCCCTCTGTCCTCTCCCTCCTCTCCCTCTCCTCTGTCCTCCCCTCTGTCCTCTCCCTATGTCCTCCCCCCTCTGTCCTCCCTCTGTCCTCTCCCTCTGTCCCTCCTCCCTCTGTCCTCTCCCTCTGTCCTCCCCCTCTGTCCTCCCCCTCTGTCTCCCCTCTGTCCTCCCTCTGTCCTCCCCTCTCCTGTCCTCCCCCTCTGTCCTCTCCTCTGTCTCCCCCTCTCCTCCTGTCTCCCCCTCTGTCCTCCCCCTCTGTCTCTGTCTCCCCTCTGTCCTCCTCTGTCCTCCTGTCCCCTCTCCCTCTGTCCTCTGTCCTCCCCCCTCTGTCCTCTGTCCTCCTCCCCCTCTGTCCCTCCCTCTCTCTCTTCCTCTCCCTCTGTCCCCCCCTCTGTCCTCTCCTCTGTCTGTCTCCCCCTCTGTCCTCTCCCTCTGTCCTCTCTGTCCTCTCCCTCTGTCCTCCCCTCTGTCCTCCTCCCTCTGTCCCTCTGTCCTCCCTCTGTCCCTCCCCCTGTCCCTCTCCTCCCTGTCCTCTGTCCTCCCCCTCTGTCCTCTCCTCTGTCCCTCCTCTGTCCTCCCCCTCTGTCCTCCCCTCCCTCTGTCCTCTGTCCTCTCTGTCCTCCCTCTGTCCTCTCCCTCTGTCCTCTCTCCCTCTGTCCTCTGTCCCTCTGTCCCCCTCTGTCCCCCTCTGTCCCCTCTGTCTCTCCTTCTCCCTCTGTCCCTCTCTGTCCTCTGTCCCCCTCTGTCCCTCTCCCTCTGTCCTCTCCCTCTGTCCTCTCCCTCTGTCCTCCCCCCTCCTCTGTCTCCCTCTCTGTCTCTGTCCTCCCTCTGTCCTCTCCCTCTGTCCCTCCTCCTCCCTCTGTCTCCTCCCCTCTGTCCTCCCCTCTGTCCTCTGTCCTCCCCTCTGTCTCCCTCTCCTGTCCCTCTGTCCTCTCCCTCTGTCCCCTCCTGTCCTCTGTCCCTCTGTCCCCCTCTGTCCTCTCCCTCTGTCCTCCCTCCTCTGTCCTCTGTCCTCTGTCCTCCCTCTGTCCTCCCCCTCTGTCCTCCTCCCTCCTCTTCCTCTGTCCCTCCCCTGTCCCCTCTGTCCCTCTGTCCCTCTGTCCCCCCTCCTCTGTCTTCCTCTGTCCTGTCCCTCTGTCCTCTGTCCTCTCCCCTCTGTCTCCCTCTCTGTCCTCCCCTCTGTCCTCTGTCCTCTCCTCTGTCCTCCTGTCCTCTGTCTCCCTCTGTCCTCTCCCTCTGTCCTCTGTCCTCTCCCTCTGTCCTCCCCCTCTCCTCTGTCCTCTGTCCTCTCCCTCTGCCTCCCCCTCTGTCCTCTGTCCTCTCCTCTGTCCTCCCCTCTGTCCCTCTGTCCTCTCCCTCTGTCTCCCCTCTGTCTCCCTCTGTCTCCCTCTGTCTCCCCCTCTGTCTCCCTCTGTTCCTCCCTCTGTCCCTCTGTCCTCTGTCCTCCCTCTGTCCTCTCCCTCTGTCCTCACCCCTCTGTCCTCTGCCCCTCTGTCCTCTGTCCTCTCCTCTGTCCTCCTCTGTCCTCCTCTGTCCTCCCCTCTGTCTCCCCCTCTGTCCTCCCCCTCTGTCCTCTCCTCTGTCCTCTCCTCTCCTCCCCCTCTGTCCTCCCCTGTCCCTGTCCTGTCCCCTCTGTCCTCTGTCCTCCCTCTGTCCTCTCCCTCCTCTGTCCTCCCCTCTGTCCTCCCTCTGTCCTCCCCTCTGTCCCTCTGTCCTCCCCCTCCCCTCTGTCCTCTCCCTCTGTCCTCATCCCTCTGTCCTCCCCCTCTGTCCTCTGTCCTCTGTCCTCCCTCTGTCCTCCTCTGTCCCTCTGTCCTCTCCTCTGTCCTCCTCTGTCCTCTCCCTCCCTCTGTCTCTCTCCCCTCTGTCGTCTCCCTCTGTCCTCTCCCTCTCCCTCTGTCTCTCCCTCTGTCCTCCCTCTGTCCTCCCCCTCTGTCCTCTGTCCTCTCCCTCTGTCCTCCCCCTGTCCTCTGTCCTCTCCCTGTCTCCCCTGTCCCTGCACACACACACAATCTCCTGTCTCACCTGTCTCACCTGTCTCACCTGTCCCTCCTGTCTCACCTGTCTCACCTGTCTCACCTGTCTCACTGTCTCACCTGTGTCTCACCTGTCCCTCCTGTCTCATCCTGTCTCACCTGTCTCACCTGTCCCTCCTGTCTCACCTGTCCCTCCTGTCCCTCCTGTCCCTCCTGTCCCTCCTGTCTCACCTGTCCCTCCTGTCTCACCTGTCGCACCTGTCGCACGTGTCTCACCTGTTCGGACACGGCGCGGAACAGACTGGACGCGTCTCGTGCGACCATCTTCCGGTACAAACCGAGACTCGACAGAAACTCGTCCATGTTCACGAAGTATTTCTTCAACCCCTTCTGCATCCTGCGGGTCACCGATACCGGGTCACCACCGAGTCACCGCCACCGGGTCACAGCCACCGGGTCAGAATCACCGGGTCTAAACGAGCCGAACCGGTTCAAACAAAAAAAAAAAGAAGAAAAAAACAGTTGGAACAAAAACGTCCAGAACCGAAAAAACGAGAAAAAGACACGAGACCCGCGCACGAGCTCACGTGGCACACACGTGCACACTCACCTCACGAGGTCACGGGGTCACGGGGACGCGGGGCGAGGTCACGGCTCGTGCGCAGCTGTGCGTGATGAGAGTGACGAGCGCGCACATCTGCCGCACGTGCACGAGCAGCAGAAGCACGAGACTCGAGACCCGCGCGCACAAACTTTATTTATTATTTATTTGTAACTAAAAACACAAAATAAATACAAAAATATAAACACAAACATATAAATACAAAAATATAAACACAAAAATATAAACGCAAAAATATAAATGCAAAAATATAAATATAAAAATATAAACACAAAAATATAAATACAAAAACATAAACACAAAAATATAATAAAAAATAAATAAAAATATAAATACAAATAAAAAATATAAATACAAAAATATAAATACAAAAGATAAATAATAAAATATAAATACAAAAATATAAACACAAAAAATATAAATACAAAAATATAAATACAAAAATATAAATACAAAAATATAAACACAAAAATATAAATACAAAAAAATATAAACACAAAAATATAAACGCAAAAATATAAATGCAAAAATATAAATATAAAAATATAAACACAAAAATATAAATACAAAAACATAAACACAAAAATATAAATATAAAAATATAAATACAAAAATATAAACACAAAAATATAATTACAAAAAGATAAATACAAAAAATAAACACAAAAATATAAATACAAAAGATAAATACAAAAAATATAAACACAAAAATATAAATGCAAAAATATAAATATAAAAATATAAACACAAAAATATAAATACAAAAACATAAACACAAAAATATAATAAATATAAAAATATAAATACAAAAATATAAATACAAAAAGATAAATACAAAAATATAAACACAAAAATATAAATACAAAAAGATAAATACAAAAAATATAAACACAAAAATATAAATACAAAAATATAAATACAAAAATATAAACACAAAAATATAAACACAAAAATATAAATACAAAAATATAAACACAAAAATATAAACACAAAAATATAAATACAAAAATATAAATACAAAAAAATATAAACACAAAAATATAAACGCAAAAATATAAATGCAAAAATATAAATATAAAAATATACCAGAACCGAAAAAACGAGAAAAAGACACGAGACCCGCGCACGAGCTCACGTGGCACACACGTGCACACTCACCTCACGAGGTCACGGGGTCACGGGGACGCGGGGCGAGGTCACGGCTCGTGCGCAGCTGTGCGTGATGAGACTGACGAGCGCGCACATCTGCCGCACGTGCACGAGCAGCAGAAGCACGAGACTCGAGACCCGCGCGCACAAACTTTATTTATTATTTATTTGTAACTAAAACACAAAATAAATACAAAAATATAAACACAAACATATAAATAAAAATATAAACAAAAAATATAAATACAAAAATATAAACACAAAAATATAAACGCAAAATATAAAATGCAAAAATATAAATATAAAAATATAAACAAAAATATAAAATACAAAACATAAACACAAAAATATAATAAATATAAAAATATAAATACAAAAATATAAATACAAAAATATAAATACAAAAGATAAATACAAAAATATAAATACAAAAATATAAACACAAAAATATAAATACAAAATATAAATACAAAAATATAAATACAAAAATATAAAACAAATATAAATACAAAAAAATATAACACAAAATATAAACGCAAAAATATAAATGCAAAATATAAATATAAAATATAAACACAAAAATATAAATACAAAAACATAAACACAAAAATATAAATATAAAAATATAAATACAAAAATATAAACACAAAAATATAATTACAAAAAGATAAATACAAAAATATAAACACAAAAATATAAATACAAAAAGATAAATACAAAAAATATAAACACAAAAATATAAATGCAAAAATATAAATATAAAAATATAAACACAAAAATATAAATACAAAAACATAAACACAAAAATATAATAAATAAATAAAAAATAAATAAATACAAAAATATAAATACAAAAAGATAAATACAAAAATATAAACACAAAAATATAAATACAAAAGATAAATACAAAAAATATAAACACAAAAATATAAATACAAAAATATAAACACAAAATATAAACACAAAAATATAAAACAAAAAATATAAAAAATATAAACACAAAAATATAAATACAAAAATATAAACACAAAAATATAAACACAAAAATATAAATACAAAAATATAAATACAAAAAAATATAAACACAAAATATAAACGCAAAAAATATAAATGCAAAAATATAAATATAAAATATAAACACAAAAATAAATACAAAAACATAAACACAAAAATATAAATATAAAAATATAAATACAAAAATATAAACACAAAAATATAAATACAAAAAGATAAATACAAAAATATAAACACAAAAATATAAATACAAAAAGATAAATACAAAAAATATAAACACAAAAATATAAATACAAAAATATAAATACAAAAATATAAACACAAAAATATAAATACAAAAATATAAACACAAAAATATAAACACAAAAATATAAACACAAAAATATAAATACAAAGATACACTTTGTGTTTTCAACTGGAGCAGTTCAACAAAACAAAACATAATGAAGGAAGGAAGGAGGCCGAGGACTAGTGAGTGTGGGAACCACTGTCCAGGATGAAACATCCAAGCTCCTTGAGAACATCAAGGACAAGGCCCCGGCAGATGAGGAGCTCGGAGAAGGTCTCAGACAGTGGGGTCCAGAGGAAGAGGAGCTGGAGGGACCATCATGACAGGACAAACCCCTACATGAACCACCGCAACAGAACTGAAGAGGCTGATATCAAGAAATCCTCCCAATGTCTTGAGAGGGTCTGAAGGACACACAGAGGTTCATCCTAGACCTCAGGAGCAGGACCTGAGCACCAGAGAAATAGAGCTCCAGATCTACCACACCAGACCAGACCCACGGTGTCGACTGTGCACAGAGGCTCTGAGACAGTCCAGCACAGAACTGCAGGTGTCAGATGCTGCAGGGAAACAAACATGGAGCCACAGAACCAAGAGGCGGGCAGAATGTACAGAAACATCTGTGCAGAGTTCGGGCTGGAGACCCCAGGATCAAGGTGGGAAACACCTCCAAAGGTTGTGGAGAACGACCGAGCCAAGATCCTGTGGGACTTCAGATACAGACTGACAGGATGGAGATGGACCAACCAGACATGGTGGAGGTGGAGAAGAACAGAGCAGAGCCGTGTTGGAACATCACAACACCAAGAGATGGAAACATCAGGAAAAAGGAACATGAGAAACTAGAGAAATATCAGGGGCTCAAGGAGGAGCTGGAGAAGGTCTGGAAGGTGAAGATATCAGTGGAGCCTGTGGTGATCGGACACTCGAGGCTGAAACCTCCAAACTGGAAAAACAACAAACATCTCAGTCCAGAAAAGAACAGAACAGGAACAGCACAGATACTGAAGAACTGTCAAACTCCAGACGTCTGGAGAACCTGAGCTGGAGGAAAAAGAACAACCACCGTGAAGGTGAGGAGCACATTTATTTATAGTGTCATTCCACATCATTTCAACAAACTTAAAAAAAACAAAAAACAAATAGTCTGTTAGTATCACGTCCCAACTCTGTGACGTTTGAGTCATTTTTGATCTTTACTTTTGAAGTTTCAGTTCATTTTATGAGGGGAGGATGTGTCAGTTTTTGGGCCCAAAATCACGTCATTTTTTTCTCGTCTGTTTTCACAGGTCGATGTCTCCATCAGTGTCACACACAGAGGACTGAGAGTTTGTAGGTTTGTTCTCCTCTGTTCAAATCACATCGATCCAACGTTTGTATCTCAACTCATTCTCATTTTATATGAACTTAAAAATGAAAAAAAACTTGTTAAATTCTGTGGCGTAACATTTTTAGCCCCTTTTTAAACCCACCTGCAGGTGTCAGAGACCCTTCAATTGTTTTTGAGAATCAAGATTTGTACTTGGACTGTTCAAAAAATCACCAAATGTTAAAAATGTGAAATAGTTTTATGTGTGAGGGTCCAGTTCAAAACAAGAAAACACAACATGGTCTGATTTTCACATGTGAGTGATGAGGTGTGGACAGTGATGAAAACAGTTTGGAATCTTTTTGTTTTTGTTTGAAAGAGCAGAAAAGTCCTTTTATATGACACCAAACGTCTGTATTTTAATTGTATCTTGAACATTCATGTTTGACACAACGACTCGAGTGAACCGTGACCATGTACGACTAAAGTCACTAAAACATTTAAAGACTGAACCAAACGGTTTGAGAATCATTTGAATGACACGAGTTTTCTGACGTCCAAGAAAAAACAGCTGGAGATTTTTCTCATATTAAAGAAACAAACATGTTCAACATGATTGTGTCTGTTAGTTGTGGACGGTACATCGATGTTTAGGACGATGCACCGGTGCCCGACAAACATCGACCTGTGACGGTCAAAGACTCGACTTCTCCGACCCGCGGGACCTGAACCTGATCAGGACCGACTCTGAGTCACACTTTTCCTGTATCAGAAAAATCCACCGAGTGTGAGAGTCGCCGTCGTCTACGCCGCGACAAACGCCCGGGGCAAACGTCCGGGACAAACGTCCGGGGCAAACGTCCGGGACAAACGTCCGGGACAAACGCCCGGGACAAACGCCCGGGACAAACGCCCGGGACAAACGCCCGGGACAAACGCCCGGGACAAACGCCCGGGACAAACGCCCGGGACAAACGCCCGGGACAAACGCCCGGGACAAACGTCCGGGACAAACGCCCGGGACAAACGCCCGGGACAAACGTCCGGGACAAACGTCCGGGACAAACGTCCGGGACAAACGCCCGGGACAAACGTCCGGGACAAACGCCCGGGACAAACGCCCGGGACAAACGCCCGGGACAAACGCCCGGGACAAACGTCCGGGACAAACGCCCGGGACAAACGTCCGGGACAAACGCCCGGGACAAACGTCCGGGACAAACGTCCGGGACAAACGCCCGGGACAAACGTCCGGGACAAACGTCCGGGACAAACGTCCGGGCGTCGATCTGTGTCTATGACCCAAAAGTTTAACGTCATTTACCGTGTCAGACATCGAGTCTACAACGACTCAACAACGACTCGACTACGACTCGACTACGACTCAACTACGACTCGACTACGACTCAACTACGACTCGACTGTCATCACTTCACAGGGATTTTTTATTGAGCAGAAGTAACATGCCACGGACCAAACCAGGAGTACCCGCGTGTACCTGTGAGTACCCATGAGTACCTGCGAGTACCCGTGAGTACTCGTGAGTACCCATGAGACCCGTGAGTACCCGTGAGTACCCATGAGTACTCGTGAGTACCCGTGAGACCCGTGAGTACCCATGAGTACTCGTGAGTACCCGGCCCGGAGCAGGACTCTGTTTGGAGATCTAAACGTTCAGGTTTTTTAATTAAAGGTGAATTTATCTCGAGGTGTTTTATTTACGTGTTAATAAATGTAATTAATGATAATGCATTTTAATTTAATGCGCGCATGCGCACATGCTGCGCAGCCCTGAGCGCGTGACCCTCAGCGCGTGAGTGTGGTGCAGTGCGCGCTGTGGCCTGCGGGGGCGCGCTGCGGCCTGCGGGAGCACGCCTCTGCACACGGCTTCATAGAAGAAGAGTCTCTGCACTGCGCATGCGCCACAAACATCTGCACTGTACTTCCGGGTTTACATCCTGACCTACAAAGTCCCGAACCAGACCCGGAGCAGACCCGGACCAGACCCGGAGCAGACCCGAACCAGACCCGGACCAGACCCGAACCAGACCCGGACCAGACCCGGAGCAGACCCGGACCAGACCCGGAGCAGACCCGAACCCATGCGGCTCCTGCTGCCACCGGGGGCCCGTGTCCTCCGGACCCTCCGGACCGTCCGGGCTCTGTGCTCCGGGCCTCCGCCCAGGACCGCGGCTCAGATTCGGTCGGACTTCATCGAGTTCTACCGGGCCCGGGGACATGAGCTGGTCCCGTCCAGTCCGGTCCGGCCCCGCGCGGACCCGAGTCTCCTGTTCGTGAACGCGGGAATGAACCAGGTCAGAACCAGAACCGGGTCTAGTCCTGGTCTAGTCCTGGTTTTAGTCCTGGTTTTAGTCCTGGTTTTAGACCTGGTTTAGTCCTGGTTTTAGTCCTGGTTTTAGACCTGGTTTAGTCCTGGTTTAGTCCTGGTTTAGTCCTGGTTTAGTCCTGGTTTTAGTCCTGGTTTTAGACCTGGTTTAGTCCTGGTTTTAGTCCTAGTTTTAGACCTGGTTTAGTCCTGGTTTTAGACCTGGTTTAGTCCTGGTTTTAGTCCTGGTTTAGTCCTGGTTTTAGACCTGGTTTAGTCCTGGTTTTAGTCCTAGTTTTAGACCTGGTTTAGTCCTGGTTTAGTCCTGGTTTTAGTCCTAGTTTTAGTCCTGGTTTTAGACCTGGTTTAGTCCTGGTTTTAGACCTGGTCTAGTCCTGGTTTTAGTCCTGGTTTAGTCCTGATTTTAGACCTGGTTTAGTCCTGGTTTAGCCTCAGTTTGTTTGTGTTTGTTTGTTTTCTGGAACATTTCAAACTAACTAATAACTAACCCTAACCCTAAATGATTAAATATTTTATTTTCTGATAAAATATTTTATTTTCTGTTAAACCGTCTGGTTTTCCTCGGCGTCATTTTGACCTTAACAAATGTTTTTTCCTTCTCGCTCTTGAGTCAATCAAACCCAAACTTTTATTTTCAAATGTTTCTGTTTCCAGAATCTGACCCTGAACATGAAACTGTTCCCTCCTAAAAACAAAGAAAAACAAATAAAACAATTAAAACAAACACATCCAGACATTCCAGCTTTAAAATCTGGTTTCCACACGACACACTGAGTGTGTTTACATGCACATCAATAACTCGGTTATGATCAGGTTTCTTCAGTATCCCGGTTTCTTCATGGTGCATGTAAACGCAGTAACCTGGTTTCAGTTTCCCGGTTATTAGAAACCGGGAAACTGTAGCTGGTTTATTCCGATAGTAACCGGGATACTTGTGACATGTAAACGCAGTATCCTGCATACTGCAACATCAAGTTGAGTCACGTGTCCAAAAGACACTTTCCAGCCTTTCACCACAACAGTAACGACAGGAATAAAGTGACCAACATAAATAAATTGACCAAATGAGTGAAATGACTGTAAAATAAAGAGCTGCACTAAACCTGCACACGTACAATCTGCACTCGTGTGACGCTGAAAAGATAAAACATGAACTATCTCCTGTACAACACACACAGAACAGACTCACCATCATCAGCACCTCTTCTGTCACAAAAACAACACACATAATCCACAGAGTCGAGTCATTTAGTCCAAAAGAAACTGAACCACATCAGCGACACAAGGAGCAGCTGTTTTTATCACCGCTAACAGTTTATGCTAATTAGTCATGTGGTCTTAAGTTTCGTTTCTGTAAAACGTAAACAAATGTGATCAGAGCTGAATGATCTGATCAAACCTGCTGATGTGGATCTACAGTGGTTCTGGTTTATTTGTTTTAGAAGATTTTAATGAAGAATCTGTTGCTTTGATGTGTGCAGTGGATTGTGGGAGATCTCGTAGCTCCTCACGGTTTGTATTTTTCCTGGTTTATTAAATTGATTTAAGTTCATTTTGTGCATTTGTAAGATTATGTCAAGAAACCCGGAACACTCCATTTGATCATGTACACGGGGATAGGAGTGTCGCGGTTTCTCAGTGAACATGTAAACACAGTAACACAAGTTTACAGTTTATTTGCAGTGTGTAATGTGACCTCTGACCTCTGCCCTCAGTTTAAGCCCCTCCTCCTGGGCTCGGCAGACCCTCGGTCTCCGTTGGCGTCGCTCCGCCGTGTGGTGAACTCGCAGAAGTGCGTCCGGGCCGGAGGGAAACACAACGACCTGGACGACGTCGGGAAGGACTCGACTCATCACACCTTCTTCGAGATGATGGGCTCCTGGAGCTTCGGGGACTACTTCAAGGTCTGGACCGGGACTGGGACTAGATCTCGGACCGGGGCTGGACCGGGGCTGGGACTAGAGCAGGATCCTAACAGGTTTTGTGTGGTCAGGCCGAGGCGTGCTCCATGGCCTGGACTCTCCTCACCGAGGTCTTCCAGATCCCCAAAGACCGACTCTACGTGTCCTACTTCAGCGGAGACCCCAAAACCGGACTCCCCCCGGACCTGGAGACCAGAGACGTGTGGCTGCAGCTCGGGTGAGTCCGGGACCGAGGACTGGGACCGGGGACTGGACCAGGTCTGACCTCTCTCCTCTGACAGGTTGCCTCCTGACAGGGTGCTCCCCTTTGGGCCGGAGCAGAACTTTTGGGAGATGGGCGACACGGGTCCCTGTGGTCCCTGCACCGAGATCCACGTGGACCTGAGGGGAGGACGGGACGCGGCACCGCTCGTCAACACCGACTGTCCCCAAGTCCTCGAGGTCTGGAACCTCGTCTTTATGGAGTACAACAGGTACTGGACCGGGACTATAACGGGACCGGACTGGGACTATAACGGGACTATAACGGGACCGGACCGGGACTATACCGGGACTATAATGGGACCGGACCGGGACTATAACAGGACTGGACTGGGACTGGACCGGGACTATAATGGGACCGGACCGGGACTATAACGGGACTGGACCGGGACTATAACTGGACCGGACCTGGACCGGACCTGGACCGGACCTGGACCGGGGACTGGACTGGACTGGACTGGACCTGGACCGGGGACTGGACTGGACCGGACCGGGGACTGGACTGGACCGGACCTGGACCGGGGACTGGACCGGGGACTGGACCGGGGACTGGACCGGGGACTGGACCGGGGGCGCGACTGGACCGGGGACTGGACCGGGGCTGGACTGGACCGGACTGGACCGGGGGACTGGACCGGGACTGGACGGGCTGGACTGGACCGGACTGGACCGGGGGCTGGACCGGGGACTGGACCGGGGACTGGACCGGGGACTGGACCGGGGACTGGACCGGGGACTGGACCGGGGACTGGACTGGACCGGGGACTGGACCGGGGGCTGGACTGGACCGGGGACTGGACCTGGACCGGGACTGGACCGGGGACTGGACCGGGGACTGGACCGGGGACTGGACCGGGGACTGGACCGGGGACTGGACCGGACCTGGACCGGACCTGGACCGGGGACTGACCCGCGGGCCTCATTTATAAATCTCTCTTGGCACAGATCCTTGCGTCGTGGCTCTTTACACGACCACAGTGTTTATGAACCTGGTGTAAATCACAGCACTTTGTTAAACTCTGTGGGACGTCCAGAGTCGGTGTTTCTAACTCTACACGACGTCTGGACACTCGGGGACAAAGCCACACTCATCAGGCTCGCCACGCTCGCCACGCTCGCCACGCTCGTCACGCTCGAGACGCTCGCCACGCTCGCCACACTCGTCACGCTCGAGACGCTCGTCACGCTCGCAACGCTCGCGACGCTCGTCACGCTCGTCACGCTCGCCACGCTCGCCACGCTCGTCACGCTCGAGACGCTCGCGACGCTCGTCACGCTCGCGACGCTCGTCACGCTCGAGACGCTCGCCACACTCGAGAGGCTCGCCACCCTCGCCACACTCGTCACGCTCGCCACCCTCGCCACACTCGTCACACTCGTGGAGCAGAAGTGAAGAGAGTTTGAGGAAGAGTTTGTTCAGGAACTTAACAGAAAATCCACGTAACCCCTCCCCCTCCTCTGATTGGTCAGTCTAACCCCTCCCCCTCCTGATTGGTCGGTCTAACCCTTCTATGTTGTGATTGGCTCAGGCAGGAGGATGGGTCGCTGTGGCCCCTCCCCCTCCGCAGCGTGGACACGGGACTCGGTCTGGAACGACTCGTCTCCGTTTTACAGAACAAGACGTCCAACTACGACACGGACCTGTTCCTCCCCCTGATCCTGCACCTGCACCAGGTACTGCACTGGGACTAAACCAGGTCCTAGACCAGGTACTGGTGTATCAGTTGTCAGGTGCGGCCCTGTCTAAAGCCGCTGTGTCAGTTGTCAGGTGCGGCCCTGTACTCCGGTGGTCCTGGTCTCGTGGACATGGCGTACCGTGTGGTCGTGGATCATGTCCGGACTTTGGCCGTTTGCATCGCCGACGGAGTCCATCCCGGGATGAGCGGCGCCGAGTGAGTGCTCCTGTCTGCTCCTGTCTGCTCCTGTCTGCTTCTGGCTGCTCCTGGCTGCTCCTGCCTGCTCCTGCCTGCTCCTGTCTGCTCCTGTCTGTCCCGGTTCTGTCCCGGTTCTGTCCCGGTTCTGACCCGGTTCTGTGTGTTCCAGGTTGGTCTTGAGGAGGATCTTGCGCAGGGCCGTCCGGTTTTGTCTGGAGGTTCTAAAGGCTCCAGAGGGAACTCTGGGACGCCTGGTCCCAACTGTGGCCCACAGCCTGGTCTGTCTGCACCTGTCACTCACCTGTCACACTCACCTGTCAGACTCACCTGTCACTCACCTGTCACCTGTCACTCACCTGTCACTCACCTGTCACTCACCTGTCACTCACCTGTCACCTGTCACTCACCTGTCACTCACCTGTCACACTCACCTGTCACACTCACCTGTCACTCACCTGTCACTCACCTGTCACTCACCTGTCACTCACCTGTCACACTCACCTCACCTGTCACACTCACCTGTCACTCACCTGTCACACTCACCTGACACTCACCTGTCACACTCACCTGACACTCACCTGTCACTCACCTGTCAGACTCACCTGTCACTCACCTGTCACTCACCTGTCAGACTCACCTGACACTCACCTGTCAGACTCACCTGACACTCACCTGTCACTTTCACCTGTCACTCACCTGTCACTCACCTGTCAGTCACCTGTCAGACTCACCTGTCAGACTCTCCTGTCAGGGACTCACCTGTCGGCCCTGTCTGTGTTTCAGGGGGGCGTGTACCCGGAGCTGTGGGCGGAGCAGCAGAGGGTCAGTGCGTGTGCAGGTTGTTGGTCGGGGTGGGTGGGGTCAGAGGTTAAAGGTCGTGTTTGGTTCTTTCAGATCGTGGACGTGATCGACGAGAACGAAGAACAGTTTGTGTCGTCGCTTCGACAGGGAACGAGACTCATCCACAGGACTACAAACAAGATGGAGGCCGGAGCGCTCTTCCCCGGTAAGGACTACAAACAAGATGGAGGCCGGAGCGCTGTTCCTGAGGTTCTGTGGGAGGGCATCTGGTTTAACTCGGAGATGGTGTTGTTCTGAGACGTGTCCCCAGGGGGCGACTGAACATCTGTTTATCTAAACAACAGAAGAAAAATGAGTCTGAACAAACGTCTGATCATCACTCTCCCTCTCTTCCTCTCCTCCTCTCCTCTCTCGTTCCCTCCCTCCCTCCTCGTTCCTTCCCTCCTTCCCTCAGCGTCCGTGGCGTGGTCGTTGCACAGGGACCTGGGTTTTCCTCTGGACCTGGTGGACCTGGTTCTGTCTGAAAGAGGAGTCCGAGTGGATCTGGAGGAACTGGACCGGATCAGGGCCCGAAACCAGGTCCGGACCAGGACTAAACTCTGCCTTTTGCCGGACTCTGGTCTCGGACCGGGACCGTTGGTCCTGTTCCGCCCGGTAACGGTGATGTCGCTCCTCAGGTGGCGTCTGATTCGCCGAGAGCCGATGATGTCGTGACTCTGGACGTGGCGACTCTGAGCGAACTTCAGCGACGCCGAGTTCCTCACACCGACGAGTCGCCCGTGTACAAGTACTACAAACACGACGGCAAGTACGGTGAGTACTACAACCAGTACTACATCCAGTACTTCAAACACGACGGCAAGTACAGTGAGTACTACATCCAGTACTACAACTAGTACTACAAACACAACAGCAAGTACAGTGAGTACTACATCCAGTACTACAACTAGTACTACAAACACAACAGCAAGTACGGAGAGTACTACATCCAGTACTACATCCAGTACTACATCCAGTACTACATCCAGTACTACAAACACAACAGCAAGTATGGAGAGTACTACATCCAGTACTACAACTAGTACTACAAACATGACGGCAAGTACAGTGAGTACTACATCCAGTACTACATCCAGTACTTCAAACACGACAGCAAGTACAGTGAGTACTACATCCAGTACTACAACTAGTACTACAAACATGACGGCAAGTACAGTGAGTACTACATCCAGTACTACATCCAGTACTACATCCAGTACTACATCCAGTACTACACACACGACGGCAAGTACGGTGAGTACTACAACCAGTACTACAGACACAACGGCAAGTACGGTGAGTACTACATCCAGTACTACATCCAGTACTACAAACACAACAGCAAGTACGGAGAGTACTACAACCAGTACTATATCCAGTACTACAAACACGACGGCAAGTACGGTGAGTACTACAACCAGTACTACAAACACAACGGCAAGTACGGTGAGTACTACATCCAGTACTACATCCAGTACTACAAACACAACAGCAAGTACGGAGAGTACTACATCCAGTACTACATCCAGTACTACATCCAGTACTACATCCAGTACTACATCCAGTACTACATCCAGTACTACAAACACAACAGCAAGTATGGAGAGTACTACAACCAGTACTACAAACACGACGGCAAGTACAGTGAGTACGACAACCAGTACTACAACCAGTACTACAAACACAACGGCAAGTACGGTGAGTACTTCATCCAGTACTACATTAAGTACTACAGTGTGTTCACACTCTGTAGTGTGTTCACACTCTCTAGAGTGGTCACTCTGTAGAGACTCGTTTCTGGTTCTGGTCCTGGACCCTGACTCGGTTTTGGTTCTGGTTCTGGACCCTGACTCGGTTCTGGTTCTGTTTCCTCAGTGTTTCCTTCCTGCCCGGCTCAGATCCTGGCCCTGGTCTCTAACCGGACTTTGGTGGACCAGGTCTCAGAGGGACTCTGTGGCCTCATCCTGGACCGGACCTGTTTCTACAGCGAGAAAGGAGGACAGAGTCCAGACCGGGGCTACCTCAGCACACAGGTCTGGACCAGGACCAGGACCAGGACCAGACTACGACAGAACCAGGACTAGAGGAGGATTGTAACCGGACTTTGTGGTCTGTGTCTCGTGTTGCGTAACAGGAAGTGGTCCTCCCTCTCTCTGACGTCACTTCCTGTGGGGGGTACGTCCTTCACGTGGTCCAAGTCTCAGACCTGATCCGGACCGGAGACCGAGTCCAGCTGCACCTGGACCAGGTCAGACCGTCCACCTGTCCACCTGTCCCTCCTCACCTGTCCACCTGTCCCCTCCACCTCTCTCTGACTTTGTGATTGGTCCACAGGCGTCTCTGACACTCTGTGATTGGTCCACAGGCGTCTCTGACTCTCTGTGATTGGTCCACAGGCGTCTCTGACTCTGTGATTGGTCCACAGGCGTCTCTGACTCTCTGTGATTGGTCCACAGGCGTCTCTGACTCTGTGATTGGTCCACAGGCGTCTCTGACTCTCTGTGATTGGTCCACAGGCGTCTCTGACTCTGTGATTGGTCCACAGGCGTCTCTGACTCTGTGATTGGTCCACAGGCGTCTCTGACTCTGTGATTGGTCCACAGGCGTCTCTGACTCTGTGATTGGTCCACAGGCGACTCGTTTGTCCCTCATGAGGAACCACACAGGGACTCACCTGTTGAACTTCGTCCTTCGCCGGGTCCTGGGGTCGTCGGTGCATCAGCGTGGGTCCCACGTGTCTGTGGAACGACTGCGCTTCGACTACAGCGCCAAGGTATGGCGCACCGGGACTAACCACGCCGGGACTCACCACGACGCCGCCGGGACTAAACACGCCGCGCCGGGACACACCACGACGCCGCCGGGACTAACCACGACGCCGCCGGGACTAAACACACGCCGGGGACTAAACACACGCCGGGGACTAAACACACGCCGGGGACTCACACGACGCCGGGACTAAACACACGCCGGGGACTAAACACACGCCGGGGACTAAACACACGCCGGGGACTCACCACGACGCCGGGGACTAAACACACGCCGGGGACTAAACACACGCCGGGGACTAAACACACGCCGGGGACTCACCACGCCGCGCCGGGACTCACCACGCCGCGCCGGGACTCACCACGACGCCGGGGACTAACCTGTGTGTTTGTGTGTATGACACACGTGTGTGTGTATTTTGTGTGAATGTGTCTCTGTCCACAGAGCGTCCTGAGTGTCCCTGAGCTGCTGCAGGTTGACCTGGAGCTGTGTGACCTGGTGCAGAGGGACCTGAGTGTGTTTTGTGAGAACCTGAGTCTGAAGAGCGCCTTGAGTCTGAGGGGGGTCCGCACTGTGGACGAGGTGACACCCGCTCACCACAGAGTCACAGGGTCCACCACCCGCTCACCACAGAGTCACAGGGTCCACCACCCGCTCACCACAGAGTCACAGGGTCCAACACCCGCTCACCACAGAGTCACAGGGTCCAACACCCGCTCACCACAGAGTCACAGGGTCCACCACCCGCTCACCACAGAGTCACAGGGTCCACCACCCGCTCACCACAGAGTCACAGGGTCCAACACCCGCTCACCACAGAGTCACAGGGTCCAACACCCGCTCACCACAGAGTCACAGGGTCCAACACCCGCTCACCACAGAGTCACAGGGTCCACCACCCGCTCACCACAGAGTCACAGGGTCCACCACCCGCTCACCACAGAGTCACAGGGTCCAACACCCGCTCACCACAGAGTCACAGGGTCCACCACCCGCTCACCACAGAGTCACAGGGTCCACCACCCGCTCACCACAGAGTCACAGGGTCCACCACCCGCTCACCACAGAGTCACAGGGTCCAACACCCGCTCACCACAGGTCTGATACCTGCTCTTGTGTTGCAGGTTTATCCAGACCCAGTGCGAGTCGTGTCTTTGGGGCGGTCGGCCTCAGACCTGCTCCAGGACCAGGACCAGGACCAGGACCAGGACTGTGGGACTTCTGTGGAGCTCTGCTGTGGAACGTCAGTTTGGTTTTTAAAGCGCCTGTAGTTTTAACCCCTGACCCTGACCTCTGACCCCTGACCTCTGAGACCAAAGTACAGTTTAAAGAAAAGGTCGAATTTAAGAAAGACACACGAGTGTGTTTGTGTGTAATATTTGTGTTTGTGTGTGTAATATTTGTGTTTGTGTGTGTAATATTTGTGTTTGTGTGTGTAATATTTGTGTTTGTGTGTGTAATATTTGTGTGTTTGTGTGTGTAATATTTGTGTGTTTGTGTGTGTAATATGTGTGTTTGTGTGTGTAATGTTTGTGTGTTTGTGTGTGTAATGTTTGTGTGTTTGTGTGTGTAATGTTTGTGTGTGTAATATTTGTGTGTTTGTGTGTGTAATATTTGTGTGTTTGTGTGTGTAATATTTGTGTGTTTGTGTGTAATATTTGTGTTTGTGTGTGTAATATTTGTGTGTTTGTGTGTGTAATATTTGTGTTTGTGTGTGTGTAATATTTGTGTGTTTGTGTGTGTAATATTTGTGTGTTTGTGTGTGTAATATTTGTGTGTTTGTGTGTGTAATATTTGTGTGTGTAATGTTTGTGTGTGTAATATTTTTGTGTTTGTGTGTGTGTAATTTGTGTGTGTTGTGTTTTGTGTGTAATATTTGTGTGTTTGTGTGTGTAATATTTGTGTGTTTGTGTGTGTAATATTGTGTGTTTGTGTGTGTAATATTTGTGTGTTTGTGTGTGTAATATTTGTGTGTTTGTGTGTGTAATATTTGTGTGTTTGTGTGTGTAATATTTGTGTGTTGTTTGTGTGTGTAATATTTGTGTGTTTGTGTGTGTAATATTTGTGTGTTTGTGTGTGTAATATTTGTGTGTTTGTGTGTGTAATATTTGTGTGTTTGTGTGTGTAATATTTGTGTGTTTGTGTGTGTAATATTTGTGTGTTTGTGTGTGTAATATTTGTGTGTTTGTGTGTGTGTAATATTTGTGTGTGTGTGTGTGTAATATTTGTGTGTTTGTGTGTGTAATATTTGTGTGTGTAATGTTTGTGTGTGTAATATTTGTGTGTGTAATGTTTGTGTGTGTAATATTTGTGTGTTT